TTTGTGTTGAGCATACATAGAATTTCCTGTGATGTGAACCAACTTTTATTCCCCAATTTTTTTTTTTCAGTTTTGAATTTAAGCTATTTATATTCTACAGAGTCTCTTCTCTAATGTAGTTGTATGCATTAAGGCTGTATAATGCTTTCAAAGGAGTGTTTCTCAAAATTTGTTAATGTGAGCAATTGTTCCTTGTGAAGACATTGAAGCAGCTGCATCTTTAGGAAGGTTTGACATGACTTCTTTGAAGGCTTCCAAAGAGAATCTGTGCATTCACATGCATGCACAACCACCTCACTTCATTGACAATTCTAGTAGTAGTATTATTTGTTCCCTGCACAAACATATGCCATAACCTTAGGAAGGAGTTTGTGCTATATCCAGGCCTGAACTAGAGCGAGATAGAGCTAGATAATTGGCTTCCTTTAAACATATTTGTACGTGAACGCAACCTTCTTGCACCCCCCCCCCCAAATAGTAACTGGACAGTAGTTATTCTAAGCCTCAGGGTCCAGGGAGGACTTCTTCAGTAAAGGTTGTATCACCACTTCTGTATTGCTTAAGGGACATGTAATAAGCCTTGGATTTTCTGCATATGCCTTTAAGGACAGGGAGAAGTGTGGGTGTGTTGGGGTCCTTAAGATCGAATATTACTTTGGGGTGGAAGGGAAGGACCCTCACTGAACAGGTCATATTCTTATCGTCCATGGAATATATACATATTCAAATCAAAGACCCCTTCATGGTAAGCCAACAGAGCATATTTGTTTCCTTAACTTTTAGTCTGTTTTTCAGACAATTATGATCTAAGAAAAAATCTTCATTCTAAGGAGAGGGACAAAGCCATCTCATAATGTAAAGAAATCAAGACACACCAAGAATTAGGAGTAGAGAATTGGAGGCAGAGGAGAACAGGTCTTCAAGGGCAAAAAGAAACCATGAGCAGTATCTAGTGTGTGTCTGCGTGTGTGTGTAAGCAATTTGGACTATGTTGACATTCCTTTTATATATATTTCTTGAATGGTAACTAGTTATTCTTTGTGAACTCCTATGATACACACATGATGTGATTGTTCAGAGTCTCTGGAATCTTCTAGATGTACGTATTGTCTTGGCAGAAGGCTTGCTTCAGGTACAATGTGCATGACAAGACATGTTTTCTGCTGAATCTCTTCAGTTTACTGTCAGCTGTCACAGTACTAGCATGTTCATTCTTGGAACTCATCCATTTTTCTAGATGTATTCACTTTGTTCTCTTATTTTTAATTTATTTAAATTATTTTTGTTCATTTGTGCATGCAGATTGTAGCAGCAGTCTTACAACTTGTTCATCTGTTCTTAGCCATATAGATTTGAAATCCCCTATCTGTAAATTCAACATTGCAGTAGTACATTTACACCCTTAGATGGACACAATAATTGCATATTATACCTTGAAGGGTGTGCAGTAGACCCTTGTAAATTGATAAAAGAGGGTACAGAAAAGAGAGAATGTGCTTTTCTGTTTTATGATATGGGCTTAATCCTGAAATTATGCTTTTGTAAGTTTTTGGTTAAATTTGAGGTCCCCCCCCCTTTTTTTTTCCTTTAGTTGCCTTAAATATATTTCTATAAATATTTTTGATATTAATTGATTATATGCCATCAGGTTAGTGACGACTCTTAGTGACCACATAAATAGATTTTATTCTTGATGACCTGTCCCTAACCTAGTCCTTTGGGTCTTCCAATGGTGCACTAATTGCTACTGTAACTCAGTCCTTCCACTTTGCTACTGGTCATCCTTTTCTTCTCTTTTCTGCCACCTTTCTCTGCATTACAGCCTTCTTTAGAGAGCTAGGTCTTTGCATAATATGTCCAAAGTAGGATAATTTGAGCCTGCTCATTTGTAACTCAAGTGAGTGTTCTGGACTGATTTGTTAAATGATCCATGTGTTTGTTTTCTTGGCTGTCCACGGTATTCTCAGGAGTCTTCTCTAACACCAAAGTTCAGCGTGTCAATACTCTTCCTATCCTGCTTCTTCAACTTTCACAGGAATACCATTACTTACACTATTCTGATTTTTGTAGCTATAGAGACATCACGACATCTGAATATCTTTTTCACACCTTCATGACCCCTCTGCCAAGTGCTAGTTTCTGACTTATTTCTTGACTGCTTGTCATTTTATTGTTGATGATTGATCCTAAACGGCAGACACTATCTACCACTTTGGTATCTTCATTAGCAGTTCTAATTTTTGATATAAGTAGACTGATATTGACAGTTGCCTCCTAAATCAAATGTCTTAAGATATAGGCTCCTGGGTACAGAAATAGTCTGGTGGAGTAGCAAGGGCACTGCAAAGCAAGAGAGAAGTATTAGTATATTAGAAAGAAGCTTAGATTTTCTTTTTTTAACTGCACAGGACAAGAACAGATGGGGGGGTGGAATAGTTTGGGATGTATTAACAGATACCTGATGATAACATTATTGCCATCAATGGAAGGAGGGTGACTTTTTCTTTACAAACATCATTTTTCTTTCAAATATAATTTGAAGGCATTTTATCACAATAAAATTGATCCACTAATTTATTGGATGACAAATCTGATGTGTTATTAATCCAAGCATCTCCAACATCAACCCATGTGCATTCTGTATATGTTTTTAGTAGCTTAGATATTTTAATCAAAAATACAACTTATTAAAAAAAAATGGAGAGTCCCTAAATAGAGTATTCCAGATTCTGTTTATTACCCTTTAATATAGAAATGTTAATAAAATCAAGAAACAATCTCATTATAACTCAGTATTGTAATCATTTGTGCCAACAGTTTCCCTAAGACTGATGAATATATGGTTTGTTGAGGTGGTAGTGGGACACTGTAATTAGAAACATGAACAAAGAGAAATCTTTATTAAGACTAAGACAATTCTACTTTATATACCAATAAACTATGGTTGGTTTATTATCTTTGAACTCTGTGAGTTTCAGTTTTCCTTTTGTCTCACAGGTCATTTCCCTGTTAAGACTAATACAGTGATAAATATTTTGCAGTAGAATTGTCTTATCGTTTACCAGAAAGTATATATTCGATCACTTAAGACCAAACTACTTGGTGCTTAAGCATTGTCAAGCTTTGAGCAAATGTTGCTAACTTCATTTGAATAATTTTCTAACAACATATTGTTTTAATTTGAAATATGGAAGTGTGGCTATTTATGTAAGAAGTAGATGGAATAAACAAATATGTTCAGCAATCACTTTGAAGTAGCACATTGCTTGCCTAGTTCTGAAATATTTTATATAGTAGGGTTGGGATTTTTTTTTTCCAACTGTGTCTGTATGTTTGTGTGTATCAGCATAGAAGAATTAATGCCAATTGCTTAAGAGTTCTTTATGTGGATTCTGTTATTTTAAAAAAATCTAATTAAATTTTCAAGTTTTGCACAATAGGATTTGTACAATAATGTTTTTACAGTTT